GAAAGAACACTACTGAATTTCTAACAATGTTTTAATGAAATTGGTATGAGAACGTTTGAGCCCTCTCATTTATAAGCCCATTGTACAGAATACATTCATTTAGAATACAACCTCTTCTGATGGTGGTATATGTGAAGCATACCAACAATCACATTCAGGCACTGTATTACAAACAATTTGCATATGAGCACCTATGATTTTCTTTAAAGGGGTCATATGATGCGATTTAAATTTTTCCTTTCTCTTTGAAGTGTTACAAGCTCTTGGTGCATAAAGAAGATCTGTAAAGTTGCAAAGACTAAAGTCTCAAATTCGAGCTGATCCGTGCTGGTCGCTGAGGAAATACATCAACTTCGCGTTGTGGATCGCCGGATCGGCTTTCACCGTGGAGTTCAGCCCCGGGTCGTCACATGTGGTTGCCGCAAGTCCGCCTGCCACTCCTTCGTCGAATCCGCCGGCCCCTGCTTACTCTAGCCCGCCCTGTGTAACTACTTTGTTTGGTCTTCCAAAAGAGGAGATTCAAACGCGAGTTTTGAGCAGTGTAGAGTAGCGCTTGTTTTTTGTCATTTCTCCGATCACAAATGCAGACATGGTTTTATGTTTACGCGGCGTGATGCAACGCAACTCGAAAAAAAGACAGTATAAGTCATTATAATCCGTAATTATGTCCCCACTGGATGCAACAAATGCCTCGTTTATAAAGGGTTTTAATGTTTTTGTCTCGTCGCTCCGGCCGGGACACGGCATCACAATGTGGTAAGGGCCGTAACATTTCCGTCACACGCTTGAGGTATTCGGCCAATCACAACGAACTGGATAGCTGTCCAATCAGAGCACACCTCGCTTTTCAGACCGATGAACTTTGTAAAAATCGACGCGTTTCAGAAAGGCGGGGCATAGAGGAGAAACAGTAATGTACAGTATGTGGAAAATAATGTGTTTTTTGAACCTTAAACCGCATAAACACATTTAATTACACCAAATACACATAATGTTTTTTTAGCAACATCATATGACCCCTTTAAACTTTTGACCAATAGGTGGCACCGTCCTGAAACGTCTCAAGTACCACAATGTCCCAATGACAATTTCATTTCACAATCCAACAGCATTGCCAACCAAAAAACAAAACAAAAAAAAACATCTGCCCCTATTTCAAAAAACACATTTTTTAAATCAAAATGAATGTCATCTGATACATTATTAATATCTTAAGAGCTTTACAAGTCATTGTCGACCCAGGCTTGATAAGTGACCAAATTTTAATACACTTAAGAGCAAACACATTGAGTATTACACTGTTTTAAACTGGATTTCAAATCCAGCCCATTTTGCACTGACTTGCTTTGTCAAATGCAAACTTAAAAAGGTGAAGTAACACTAGCGAAATTTCAGCAAAATCTATTTCAAACCAAGCAGTTTTCTTTTGGGTTTCTGTTGGGTCATAGCGATGAATTCCCATGACCAACTTAAACCCGATGCAGAATCTGCATGAGGAAATCTCACCTGCATGCAAAATACCTGATCACGTTAGCAAATTTTCACAGGCAAAAAAAGTCCATTGTGAACTGTCATATATAAAGCTTGGCTGATACAAAAGTAATTTTCAAACCAAGCAGCTTTCTTAATTCGCATGAGAAACTAACCTGTTGCGAAATCTGCGTGGGAAAAACTTTCACCAAACAACAGTAAATGTGATCGCACCTTGAGACAACAATCTGCGCAATAAAACAATAAACTAAATTAACAAATATCATACAGAATAAATGAAGTTGGCTATATCAGTCATGCACTTTTGAAAGGCAAATTAAATCTGAAGACATTTCAATAAAGAAAGCAAATGTTGTGGCACATATTAAGACTCAAGGCAAAGTGGCGCGAGTAACAGTAAACACACGTATTTTAACATACAAACAAACATTACATTCAAACCTGTAATATATCCAGTAAACTCTTCCTTATCCCATTATGTACATTAATACATTTATACCTGGCTTTAAAACCTGAACAAATGTTTTCTTTCTATATTTGCCACAATTGCACTTTTTGCATCATGTTTACAGATGTGCTGACAAATAATAATTGCATGTTTATGAAGACAAACAAGCCACATTCAGACCTCAACACACTTTCTAAAAGCAACTCAACTTGTGTGCATTTGGAAACGGCAAACCCGCTGCTGTTTCTCCTCAAAACCAGCATGCGGCTGGGATGTTTGTATTGTGGTCGGTCGGAGCAGCAGCAGGGAGTTTCAGGAAGTGCTACTTCTTTTCCTGGTTTGGGGTCTCCTCATGATCACCTCCTCCTCTTTATCGCTCTCACACTCTCTTTCGAACATGGCCACTGTTCGACCTACGTAGTCCATTTTGGGTTTGTCCTGTAAACGAAGATTTGAACGATCCCAACATGCCAGAATATGTGATCTTGGGTAAGACATCAGAAGCACTCTCATGGTTTAACTGCTCATGTTATTTCATGATTAGCCTGGAGACTGCTGGACGTACTACAGTCAGACAGTTATCTTTCTTGCAAATGATTAATGGAGTATAATTGAGCAGGATTCATGAAATACCTGTGGTTTGGGGTGACCTTTCTTCATCATGCGAGTCAAGTGGTTGCAGAGGGCTACGATTCTGAAAGAAAGCTATTGGAGAGCAGGGAGAAAATTTAAATTCTGAACTTTTAGACTAAATGCAAAAAAGTTCAAAAGTTTGGGGACAGTAAGATTTTTTAATGTAATTTTTTGGAAGAAATTCACTTTTTTTATTCAGCAAGGATGCATTGACAGTAAGGACATTTATAATGTTACAGAAAATGTTGTTCTTTTGAACTTTAACCAAAGAATCCTGAAAAATGTCACTGTTTCTATAAAAATATTAAGCAGCACAACTGTTTTTATCATTGATAATAATAGGAACTATTATTGAGCACTATTTTAGCATATTAGAATGATTTCTGAAGGATCATGCGACACTGAAAACTGGAGTAATGATGCTGAAAATTCAGCGTTGCATCACAGGAATAAAAAAATATACGTAAAATATACTGGAATAGAAAAATTTTATTTTGAATTGTAATAATATTTCACGTTACTGTTTCTACAGTATTTTTGATGAAGTAAATACAGCCTTGGTGAGCATTAGAGCATAACGCTGAACCCTACAATGTTGTAAAATGTCTAAAAAAAGCCTTAGCTATAAAATATCATTACATCAGGCCACAATTAGAGTCAGTATTCTTGTTCTTTGTGTCCAAAAATAACACTGAACGAGAAAAATCAAAAAGGCCACTGCCCCACCCCCTTACGTCCCAACAGGGTTGAACAGAAAGTGCAGGGAAACTTATTAAAATTATGTGTAAAAATGTATTGGGGACATACACCATTTCCATAACCATTTAGCACTTTGATGGCAAAGCAATGAGTCCTACCTGCCATCTCCTCCGGGCATATTGTCTCCTGAAGTTCTCAATGTTCACCACAGATTGCCGTCGCACCAGGGCTTGTCTGGGGTTTACAGGCTAAAGGAAAAACAATCACATTGTCATAACTGTTCAATATAAGTAATATAAGTGACGCCTTAGCACATCATTTCACAAGTTCCATGAAACACACCCCTAAGTGACTGAGTACACGTCATCTCTCTCTTTCCCACAATGCACCAAAGCCAGCTGCAAGACTAATAATCAGTGCATGTAATCATCAGTCCAGTGCTTTATTCAGTATGGAAAGAAATAACATCACTGTTTACGTCAATGCTGGCATGACATGCTGGAGAAAACGTCCAAGTGCTGAAGTTCACAAATCAATAAACATGTCACAAATATGACTTTCTAATAGAAATTAAAATATAAAGTAATAGGAATATACACTAAATTACATGTGCAAGAAAGAAAAAACAGGCAATGGGCATGTAGTGCTTTAGGTACTGTACATTCACAAATAAATTGGAGAACTTTTAAAATATAGAAAAACAAAAACAAAGAAAGAAAGGCCAAAATCATATTTATGGCATCTGTAAACAAAAGGAAAACAACCCATGCATACAGATGGATTGAAATCATGAAGGCTGACATCATTTCAACTTTTTACTATTACTGTTAAAAGAAAGAATGTTTTATAGATGTTTGGTCAGTATTTGACCTTAAATTAAAGAAATCTTAAATAATACTGACAAGAACAACCACACTGATGAAAATGTGAATTCAAAAGTATGTTGTTGACTGCTGTAGAGCACCAGCATGTGCATGAAAATTCAAGTATATACAAAACAAGTTACAAATAAACGACACAATTTTAAACTCTGACTTTTGCATGAAAACTCTTTTTTCGATTTTGAGGTACTACAGTAAATTTAAAGTAAATTTATAGTCTCAAAAGTGTCTCAAACTAATGTTTTGTTGAGATAATGATCTTTTAATATTAATTTAAGTCTTGGGATATAAATTATTAGCTTGGCTCATGAATATATTAAGAAGGTAGCAATGTTTGTTACATTATTCTGACTTGCTGGTTGCACATTCATCCATTTCACTGTTGAATTTTCTGCTTTGTCTTAAAGCACACGTTTTTCTTTCTTTATTTCTTGGGCTTGGGCAAGCTCACGGACTTCTTAAAGTGGACAAGACATGTTATCCACAGACATAATGGTTGCTACACCCTGGGCCAGAGACCTTTTAAACCTTTTATGAATATTAATTAAGTTGTAAAGTTCTTTAGAATGTAAAGGGATAGTTCACCCAAAAATTTAAATTCAGTCATCTTTTACTCCACGTCATGTCATTTTAAACCTGCATGGCTTTATTTCTTCTGTAGAACACAAAAGAAGATATTTTGAAGAATCTTTGTAACCAAACAGGTAACCGGTAACCAATGTAAAAGAAAAAAAAAACTTGTTTGGAATGACGTGAGGGTGAGTAAATAATAACAAATGAGAACAAAATATTCATTTTTGAGTGACTTTTCCTTTTATTATATTACTAATGCTTTTAAAATATTGCCCAAAATGTGGGGGAACAAACATTTTCAAAATGTCTTTTACAGTGGTTGCTACTCCATAAGATACGCCTCTGACTACACATCCTGCAATGCTCCTAAACCCAATGTATTACAACTGCTGTCTAATCTCCACTAGCTAGACTCAGAGATGTCTGGCTGTGCTTGAGGACATAGTTCGCCACCACAGGCCCTGTTCAGCAGCTCCTTCAGGGCCTCGTTCACCTCGTTGTTCAGAGCTGAGATGGATCCCAACCCCAGGTTCCCTAGCCTCTCCGTTTAGTGACCCCATAACCTCCTGCAACCATCTGAGTTCTGCGTTCAGTTCCTGTCCGAGGGAGCTCAGGTGGGCTTCTCTAGTCAGGTAGCGACTGTCGATCCTGGCTAAGCTGGCGTCGGTTGTCCTCAAGTCTTGCTGGAGGCCTTTCCTCAACACCTCTGCTTTGCGAAACTCATAGCGCACCTGCGAGAGCTCCTGACGAATGCTTTCGCTTTCCTCTTTATACCAAGCTTCCTTCTCACAGTAGATGGAAAGAAGAGCCTCAACGTCGTCCTGAAGGGATTCGCGCTTCTGAGCCACATTTTCGAGACCCATTTCCACCAACGAGATGTCCTCCAAAACGCTGGCGAAACGCTCAAAGTTGACATAGGTGTTGTTGGGTGGCATGCTGGAGTGGGATTGAATGGTGTACTCTTTCAGGCGTTTGGTCTTCAGTTGCTGAGATTCCACTTTCATTTGCGCCTCTATGGTGGCGCTGTTGTCCTCCAGCCGTTCATGGGTCTTCGCATAGAGAAATTAGGGGGAAGAATGAGTGAGAAGCTAGTTCGATTTTTCACCAGGAAGACAAAGCACTTAACTCACGCACAGGTAAGCAGCAGATCCAGGCAGGAGGAAGTGGAGTTAATGCTGGTCTCGGGATGTTAGGATGAGGAGAACAGCATGATACACAATGGAATCAGTCGTCGATTAGAAGAATTCATCAACATGCGATTGCTTCCATGATAAAGACTTGCATGCATGCGTGCATCTAGTAGTTGGCCAACAAGGTAATACCAGGATTTGGTATTTGGATTTGGGATAGTTCACCCTTAAATTATATTTTGGTATCATTTACTCACCCTTGTGTCGTTTCAAATCTTTTTAGAAATGACACATCTTTTTTTTTTTCCCATGAAATGAAAGTTATCAGGGTCCAAGACAACATTGGACCCCACTGAGACACATCTTAAAATATATTTGTCTGTGTTCCACAGAAGAAATAAAGAAAGTCTTACAGGTTTGAAACATATGAGGGTGAGTAAATGATAACAATTTTCACTTTTGGGTAAACTTTGCATTTAATTGCACAATTCATGTAGAGTAGAGAGAGGCATATGAGACATTGCATGTTTACAGCAAGTTACCGAGGTCAGTTCATTCTGTACACAACAGCAGAGTAAAGTTCAACACTTGTGCATGTTATAATGGCAGTATGAAGCATTCATTTCACAAAAGCCACATAAAAGTAGATAAACTTTCAACTGTGCATGTTTCTGACTTAATCCAAGTGGTTACCTTAATCCAGGGGTGGTTAAGCGCGTCTTGTATTTTAAGCCTCTTTCTGCAAAGAAAACAAACACAAAGCAAACTGAAGGTAAATGCAAAAAAAACAACAGAAAAAAGTAAAAGAAACAGAGAAACTAAGAGAAATGTGAGGTATAAACTTCATTTGGACATATAGCAAGTCCACTCAAATTGCATGCTCATATTTGCCTAATAGTGTAAATTAAAAAGACTTTTTTAAAGGCTACTGGTTTCAGAATCCTATTTGGCTTATTAAAGTGCACGTTAACACATTTCAGTTTTTTTTCTTTTTCTTTTTGGATTTCCTGCAGTAAAATAATCCCCTAAAAGGCCCTGAAGTTATGCTGAAGCCTTCACTGCTGAACCCTGATTTGACCTCTCACCTCGTATCTTTCACCAGCAGCTGTCTGATGAAGCATTTGGCCAGTTCACTGGTGCTGCCAAAGAACTCCTCATCAAATTCGAAGTTCACTGCTGAGATGTTTGCAAGAGTTTCCTGCTTGGAGTCGCCCAGGAACGGCGATGCCCCGCTTAATCTGAAACAGAAAGACAAATACTTGACCTATGTAGAAGCACACTGAAATTCCTGTTAATTAATTCCTGAAACTGATCAGACAGTGGAATCCAAACATGTGCTCCCATAGTTCATACATTAGACCGCTGTTAAATGCCATAATTATGTTCATAATGGCGATGGGTGTAACAGTATGGGTGCCGCTGTCTGACGGCCCAAGGCTCAACCTGTCTTTCATTATTCACTTTAATGGTGTATTGCTATATTTATTTACCTTTAAAATTCTTAAAGAATATATGAGCATGTGAACTGTTAATTCCATATTTATTTAATTTCTGTCATTCATCTTTATTAATTTATCTGCCCATTTATTTATTTCGTTTTTATTTAATTATACATGTTTATTTATTTAATAATTCTTATTTATTTGTTTAATAATACTTAGATTTTTTTTTGGAAAGAAATTAATACTTTTTATTCAGCAAAGACATTAAATTTACCAAAATGACAGCAAAGACTTTTACATTGTTACAAACTATTTCTATTTCAAATTAATTATTTGATTACATTTTAAATTACATTTCAAATAATTTACATTTTAAAATATATTATATAATATATTTTTTAGAAAACAGTTATTTAAAAATCTAATGATAAATAATTCTAAATTATAAATACAATAATTAGAAATGATTATTTATTAATTATAAAATTACTGTATTTGTGATCAAATGAATGCAACCTTGGTGAGCATAAGAAATATATTTCAAAAACATTTAAAAAATCTAACTGACCCAAACATTTTGAATGGTCCTGCCCCATGGCATTTTAAGCTATTTTTATAACTTATATAGTTTATTCTATTATATTAAAAATGTAGGTGATGTATATTTCAAATAAAGAAGTTAAGAGAGAAAATCATTTCAAATATACAAAATTATTGTCAGATTTATTCCATCTAAACAAAAACGCTACAAACTGAGTATACTGGGTGCGATCAGATATTCATCTCATTAATAAAAAGTAACGTTACACCCATTGCAGACGTGAACATTATTAGGACTAATAAAAACGGCCTGATCATGTTCACATTGGCAATGGGTGTAACATTATGTGTGTTATTGTGTAATATGTAGACGACGCATTATGAGAACCTCTCATTCATTATTCACCAATTTGCTTCATCAGTATATTTCTGTCATGACAACTCTCGGAGGGATTAGCATGATCAGTAAGCTCAGATACAGGAGAGAACCAATCAGCTGCCATGTGACAATGATGTTGCCAGGTCAGATTGAGCTAGACCTATCAGACTGCACAATCTACAGCAGGGTTCCAATGATTTGCAATGCTTTGTCGCGTCCAGTGTAGAAACGATGTGACAGCAAAAACATGGCGAGTGTGTAGAAAAGAAAAGTGGACAAGGAAAATAGATGATTCAAATGTGAATGGACTGAACAGTTTTGAGTGAGTGAGTGAGTGACTGATATCTTTGTTAT